CGTAAAAGTTGCAAGGAAACTCTCGTTATTGCGAACCGGGTCTACGAAAAACGAGCGGAAGCTTTTCAGCGACGTTTTTTCATTCATTGTTGCGATTCGTGTCAGCCGTCTGTACGCCGCGCGTTCGTTTCATTAACGAAAGCTTTAGCTCGTGAACGTTTTACTTTTCATTCGGACTATTTATAAACATTCTTCGAAAGAATTTCATGGCCGACTGGTGTGGCTTGAATTCGAGTCGGTGCACCAGGTATGCGATTGTTTCGTCGTTCCTCTTTCTCTAGCCAGATAGCAGGGGACAGGCGTACCCGCAGCTAATGCCATTCGTAGATTCGGTCAACGATGTGCACGCGTCCGGAGATTACGGCAGCGCAGCGGCTGGCTATACTTAGAGCGGTAGACGAATTTCGCTCGGGGGACGCTCCGAAAGGAGGTCGAGAAACAGCTGATGCGATATGTGTTGCGTTCAGCTCCTCGCCGCGATAAACTCTTCCTATGCTCTTTCTCGCCACGAAACATAGTCCGACCGTATTAACACGTTGACTGTCGGACGAATTTTGCATGTTTTACGTATAACGTGCGAACGTTGTCGCTTATTTTATTAGCATCGTACGTAAGATTTTGTAAGATGCGTATATAGTATGCCCGATTTAAACATATATACGCGCTATATTCTTAAGTATCGTAAATGCAAGAGAATATTTTATACGAAAGTCGGTGTTTCTTTCATGGAAGAAACTCAACGCTATTACTACCGACTAATACGTAGCTACTTGCTATATTACGTGTATGTAATATACAATCGGTTAAAATTAAAACGATGCGAAACTATCCAAGTATATGTGATTATGTTCCTATCTCGATAACGGTAAACGCTAATATTAATAAAAATACTTGCATGCTTTCTAACCGGGGATAAAAAGATCTGGTACCGGTCATTTTGATTTGGTAGCTTTGTTGTTCGTATAACATTTTGATTTTTATTTTCATTGTTATTACATTATATACATGTTGTTTTAATAACGACGTAATTTTTTTAAACGGAGCTGTTGTTACTGTCGTCACTTTATTATACATTTCATGAGATGAATTCAACGATATACATCACGAGTACATTTCAACGTTAATTTGTGAAAAATTACTAGCAAATACGTAAGTAAGTTTGTATCTTTTAGTCGTGCCATCTGTGTCTACGATACGAGAAACAATCGAGTCGAATGCTTTTGTTTAAAGGAGTGATTACATTAGCGTGTTCCTACATATATGTAATGCCGCGTGTACCCTCGATCCAGGGGTATACAGACTACAACAACCAACATTGTTACAGCATTTTCTAGAGCATTTAGTACTTGGCGTCAGCGTAATTACGAATATTGAAAACTGTACGAATAGACTGCTTATTTAATTTAAATCATCGATGACCTCCATGCTGCCCCTGGTAGATCTATCGTTAATCACGAGTAAGTCGTATGACATACGTGTTAATTCGATTTCTTCGATCGAATAAAGTACTTGCGGCTATAACAAAAAGCAAAGATCGAGGGAGCCTTGAAATAAAATAATCGGAGCCGGAATAACGTGAAAATGTCAGTACGTTGCTTTGTTCGAGTTGTACGAACTGTCGTCGGCCTCGTTCGATTTATTTCGTGATTTAATAGTAGGCGCTGGAAGACGTTGAACAGGCCCGTTACTGTGTTCCACCTGCGTTAAAAATGTCATCCTCTCGCTTAATAATTTAGTCGCTAATCGATGAGAAATCGATGACCTTTTGGACAAATATGAGCGTGGTAACTCGGTAACGCCGTCTTAATCAATTGAATCCAACGTTCAATCGTTTCGACAGTCGATAAAAAGAAATCCGAGCGGTAGCGATGCGTTTCCCGGAGGTGTATCAACGTTAAATGTCAGGTTAATCATCGTTCACGCGATCCATTATTTGACGTTGATTATCGAAAAATTGACGACGATTTTTCGAACGAACGAACGTAAAAACGTAAAAGGCAAACTCTTTCTCCGTTCTTTTTCCTATCTTTCTTTCTCTTCCAAGAAGCCGTCGTACGTTACGTTAAATATTTACCCGTGCTATCTACGTCGGCGTAATTGCGAGAAATTAATTAATTCGCGCGCAGTCTCGTGGACTCGGCCCGTTACCGCCTGGCGTCGAGTTATCGAGCTCGATACTATTTATTTATTTATGGTGCGGTCTAAATTAAAAGCGCGTCGAGAAGGCCAAACGCCTTGCGTAATCGTTACAGGGAACACTCGGCTGTTTATCATTACGTGCGAAAGATAGAAGGAAGTGGAGGGGAAAAAGGAAGTGAGAGAGAAAGAAGAACGAAGAAAAGAGAGAAAAGTTGCAAGGTCCTGTTCGACCTCGGCACGCATGCAATTAAACGCTCTGCTATTTTTTTCGCAATTTCTTCTTTGTTTTCCACTGTACCATCGAGATCTGCGTTTTGCTATTATTCGTTTCCTTCGGTTTTTGCTTAATTTGCATTCGTCTTGCTCGTTATTTATCACAGCGTAGTATTCTTCGTTTCATCGTATAGCCAATGGAGGAAAAGCCGACAGATGCCGCGCAAATTGCTTGGTGAACTTCTATCTTGCCGTTGCTTTCTACATTGAATTCGTCTAGTTGAAAGTCGTGACAGAGACTCGTAACTATAAACTACTAACGTCGACCATGTACATAGGTGGTGAGCAAACATTTCTCTCGCTATCTGCACAATCTTATCACCTTAGAAATTCTTTTCCTCGCCTGACTCATGCGACGGTATATGTATAATTAGGACAGCCTACTCCAGTCGTCGCGTCGTTGTCGACCGGTAAAACGAATTCAACTCTTTACCACGGTTGAATCGAAAGGTCTTTGGTGCGATATCGTTTCCCCGCAGCCACCATTTCCATGCTTACAATTTCTAACTGTTGCGTCCGCGATTTGATATTTCACGCAATACATAATCTTCTATGAACGTTGCTCAACGCAGTCTGTCGCTCGACGTAATTCTTTACGAACGTGTATACGTTATATATAGTTATATACATAGTTGGAACGGCACGCGCGAAAGTATCAGTCTCCTTCTGTCACAGGCAACGTAAAAGAACAGAAATTCCGTTGACACGGCACTATGCACAGAAATTATGGAACAACACCCTTGGACCGCTTGGTCTCTTTCGTGAGACGGTCTCACCCTACTCCTAACTCCTTCGCTCCGTCTTTTTCTCCGTCCATTTCTCTCTCCTTCTCTCTCCCACTGTCGGACTCTCCTTTCTAACTCTCCTTACTGCTACCTCGTCCCATGAGATGGTCGCCGACCGTCGTACTTGCACCTTTCTCACAACACGACGCGACGCAGCTCTAGCTATTCCTTCTTTCCTTGTCCCTTTCACTCGAATCGAACCAGAAGGGGAAAGAAGTTTCAGCGAAACGAGAAAGAAAGAGAGAAGAAAACCGTGAAAAGGGAAGGGAGAAGCGGGGACGAAGGTGCAACGGAACGGGATGAAAAGGGGGACGAGAGAAGAAAGAGGGAGAAAGAGAGAAGGAGAGTGTCGAAAGAGAGAACGAGTGAGAATGTCGAAGAGTGAGAGGGGGGGGGAGAGAGAGAGAGATAGGGAAGGAGAATGCAGAATGAGAAATAGAAAGACGGAGATCCAGTTTGACCGTATAGGTTAGATCCTCGTTGGTCTCGTATATTTCGAGGTGACTCGTTTTATTGCGAATCCGGTTTGCTTCCCGTGACGGAGGGTGAAGCAAGAAAGCGCGCGAGGACGCAGGAAGAGAAAGAGAGAGAGGGTGAACGCGCGAGAGGGCTGCGATGGACGGCGAAGGAAGTGGAGGAGGAGGAGTCGTAGGAAAAGGAAAGGAAAGGGAGGGATCTTTCTTTGGTCGTTCCAACGATACGGGCCCTCCCTTTCTCCTCTCATTCTCTTCTAGTCGATGCTGCACGCTTCGTTGCTGAATCGTTGCCTGTCGAGCTTCCATCGTTGCTGCCTCGGAAGAGACGGCGAACGCGCGTCGGTGATGCTTGCTCTTGTTGCTACCGCTAGTTGCTACCGACCGGTAGTTCGAACACCGATGCACATTACGCGACGCTGGTGTAGGTGATAGAGGTGACGAAGCCAGGAGGTGGTGGCCAGTTTCAAGGTTGCCTCCTCGATCGTTACAACTTGCGCACACAGTTAACAACTAGTCGTACTCATCTTGGACGATTTCTTGGGCACGATTTTCTACCGGTATGTCGATACTCATGCTCGATCGCGAATATACAAGTATGCGCTCAACGTCATCGATAAATTCTCTTGCTTTAATTGCATAATGATTCGCCGCAGATACGAGAGATTTAAAAGAGGTATTACAGAATCGATCGATCGTCGTCGACGTTATTTCGACCCGTCCTTCGGAATCGATAAAAATAATCAATTTGTTTGTTTGCTTAATTGCATATCTGGTATCGTTACTCGTTGCGCTTACTCGTTGTACGTTATTTTCGCAAACGTCACACACGAGCTTCGTTTGGTAGATAAGCGTTTGGTCGACGAAAGCCTCGTTAGTAAATGTTCGTAATTCGAAGATAATAATAGGTGGGCTTTCTGGCAATATATTTGAAATACTAAATACCTATCTGCAATTCTTTCGGTACGTCTAAAGTTCACGAGTAAAACCGATCATAGTTTTATTTATAAAGTAGATCGTTACAAAGCTGCAAATTTTTCCAAAAATTTGTAAAAAATCTTGTTATCGGTCTAAACATCGTTCAAGATTGCATAACACACACTTCTACGTACGTATGTTACATACGTATGTAACGCACTTAGAATAAAGATAAATGGATGTCGTAACTACAAAATGGATACTTATTAATGGTATAAGAAAAATGAACCTTTTAAACATGTTATTATAGATCTAATGTAACGAAGATTATGTTTAAAATTAGCAAGTACCCGATAATTTGGGGGCGGGAATATCCAGTGTCCTTTGCAGGAAATGCTTCGAATTAATTGTCCGTTGGTTTCGTAACCTAGCGATTCGATGATTTGGAAAATGAGAAAAACAAGCTCTTCTTCGAGTCTCGCGAAACGGCCGCGCCCCATTAGGATTCGAGGAAAAAACCTTTCCATCCTACTTCGATCGTCTGAGCGAACTTACGTCATTTATGGCGCTTTGTCTTCCTGCTCGAGGTATCTCTGTCTCGGTCTCTCGTAATTGATTACAAAGTTTAGCATAATACTTCTACCTGGGAAATTTAATTATACATTCGCATATGGACGGCATGAAAATTACGCTCGCTTAATAGAATCCGCGGTCCAGGAACTGGCGTGCAGCAACGAGAAGACTGGAACGAAACGAGAGAGATTCTTCTAATTGTCGCGCAATGCCACGATAAGTATCGCAGTAGCTAATGAAAAAATGCTTATGCTTCTCCGTGGAAAGATACGGCTCGGTCTAAAATCAGAACAAGGTTGTGTAAGCGTATGCAGAGAGTGCTAACATTGATAGGTATTTTTGCATTATCGTGGACGCGTCGTTTGATAAAATTTTAAGGAGATCCATAGTGTCACTCTAGGTCGTTGTTTTACGAACTTTCGACGCAGATGAATCGATCTTCGTTGTTTTCTACCTACGAGTACTTTCCATCTACTATAATAATACTCTGTATCTACTACTGGTATTAAAATTCTCATGGAATTTCGAGTACAACGATAACCCCGTCGCTTACGATATCGTGCGAGAGACGTGGTACGTCGATGTTATTGATTTATTATTTACTTCGAGATAATACATTTTTCTTGTTCGACGATCAATTTGTAGCAATTATTTATCAAACATTTTGCAAAATAAAATTAGTTGCACCTTACACGTGCATTTACATATCAAAAGACATGCGCGATTTGTTCGATGCAATGCCTGAGCGAATTGGAACGTAAGAACGCACGCATGAAATTGCTTCTTTCTAGATAAAGTGGAATGCCTGTTTTCTCAAACGTTCTAATAATAGCTAGCAGACAGGTGGGTACATCTATTTATGCACTTGGTTTTCGTTGTTTGCGAAATTACGTATCGTTTCTGTCATGCTAAATGCTCTTTTTTCCACAACGACAACAAGACATTGTTTCATTCTTCGCTCGCGGTAAAAAATAACCAAATAGCTGAACATTTTACCATCCAGCCGACTAAATTATTATTCATAAATTCGTTTCGAGTCGTAAAACGATTCTTAGTATACCGGTATTGTACTTGCATCTGTTACGTCATATTTCTATCCATTCAACCTGTTCCATGCATTTACATTTCGCACAAAGCGCACGAGTAAAATTGATCCATTCGCACGCGTATGCCCGCACATTCCCATGTGTTCCGTCATTTTTCGATTCGGACCCTTTACCGGACCCTTCATTCGCATCACTGGCGGAGTATCTACGTATTCGCGACTACGCTAATGGATTACGCTTAAAATCGATCCGCTTTGTCGTTGATCGTGTCTTGCGTGACATCCGTTACTCTCCGAGCATCTCAACTATCGTCGGTAGCAGAAGAAAACTCGGCTGTGCTATCATCGCGGGCAACGAAGTAATAGAGTGTAGCAATAGAGTAGGCTGATGTCATGCGGTAACCTTCTACTTTGCACGTACAGTTGTACACAGAAATGCGCGTCTGTTGCATCGTTGCCCGATACGTTTCGTCGTATAATTTTCTAAATTAGCGTCTCAAGTGGCCGGACGGAGAAACACGAAAAGCGGTTTCATAAAAGCTCCTAGCGAAGGAAGGAAGCCGAAGGAACGTCCGATACGATCGTTTCTTACGCAATTGGGAATTTCACGATGTCCTCGTGGTCGTTATCGTATCGGTGATTTTTGCAGGCATGGCGGCGATTCCGCGGAACTGTACGTCGAGACGCAGGCCGTACAATCGCGTATGAAAAGAACCGAGGTATACACACGGCGGTTCGTGACGAATCTTTCAACGTCGAGTTAGAGTTAACGACGGCTGATAACAGTCCTTTTTCCATGGACGTGCTCGGATAATAGCAGGAAGCCGTCGACTTTCCAAAGCGGAAAACGCAGATCCGCGTGAGCGCGCGTTTACGTCCACGCGCGTACGCATCGAGTCCTCTGTTTCGCTCGGAGCAAAGGAAAAAAATAAACGTATTCCTGAATAGAACGGTAGCTTCGGGAAACAATAGTTGACTGGTTGCGAGAGAAAACGAGGAAAAAAATCGACGCGAACAGCAAAGATGATGCAATCTCGGTATCGAGTGCGAACTGTGTACAACGAGACTTGAAACGAGTCTTTCGTGAAAAATAGCGAACCTGATTGCAGATAAATGTTACTTCGCGGAATTTTCATCCTGATAGTCATCTTGTTAATGTATGATTTGTTACGCGATTGTACGTGAATCTAGAACTGACACCGGCAAATTATGTGCGAATGATACACGGACCGTCTACGCGTATACAATCAGATTACTAGATTAACGTGAAATCTCTGGGTGTACAAAAAGTACCTTACATTCACCTCGTCGTTTGAATCAACGATCTGGCAAAAGTCGTGTAAACGACTTACGAGACAGGCTATCTGGCTTAAAAGAAGATAAATGTACTTTCTTATTTGAAATTTCTAATGTAACTAGATGCGTGCGAGGGCTTTGGCTGCACTGTCGTCGTTGCGCGAATCTAGCTTTATTCGTTGCTTCCTAGACTTTAGAACGGAAAAGTTCCGACCGACGATCAACAAAGACGGGCAGAATAACATCACGTAGAACAAAAAGTTTTCCAAGCTACTCGCCAGGAACGTTGAACATATCGGTCATGGTGTTTTCACGTCTATCCGGAATATTGTCGATTACACCGAGATAAAAAGGTGTTTGCTCAGCATTTAAAAGTGTTGTAACACGATCGACACGTGGAAAGCGTTAGCAGGCAGTGTAGTAGCGCGTCTAACGGTTGAGCGAGATTTTGTAGAATTTCTTCTGGCTTGGATTCAGTGGAATGGCGCCTCGCGTTAATTGGTAATTGTTCCGACCGAGGGTCGACCGCGATACGATAAACGAATAACAACGATAAACGTATCGGCCGATCTTTCGTTACCTTGACTGACACATCGTTAAATCCCACACGCACTTTTTTTTTGCCTTTTTTCTAGACGATCCTGATCTCTCATCTAGTCGTCGAGCACGCCAGACGCGGCATTGCAGTGGCATTACAGATCATTATGTAATGTCATAACGTTATGTGAACGTTTTACATTCGATGCCTTGCACCACTGCGGTCTCAAGGTCTTTACATTGTTGTTTGTACAACGAGTTAACACGTCGATGCGATCCAGGGACGTATTTGCCGGAGAAAATTGTACCTCTTCTCCCGTCGATGCTTGTCAAAATTCATCGCGATAGATTCGTTCTCGTACCGTGAATCTTTACATCGGTTAAATTATCTTAGCACGTTATACGATTGAAGTTGACAAAATTCAAACTATTATTCCATATCGCGTTATCTTTCATTAGTGTGGAAGATCGTTTCACTAAATATCGTGGATTATTAATTTAATGAATAATCGACTGTTCGAAATACTTTGATTACCCCTGTCAGGTATACGCCAGATTTTCGGGTACTTTTAAACTCGATACGCGTAATAGTAATAATAATCGTGTTCTATTATTGGCAGTGATAAAAAGATTGTTATATAGTTGGCTTAATAAATTCGTAAAATGTTTCTACAGGTGTTCAAGTACAAGCACCTTCGTGAGACGCTATATCCATAGTGGAAAAATAAAATCTAATTATTGCTAGGAAATGTTTATCGGTACGATTTAGGGCAGTTATCGTTATCACCGAGCACAGCAAAAACAACTCTCGGAGAGTCTTAACACTTCTGTAAAGACGCAACCTTGAAAGGAAATTTCTCGAAGCGATTTTGCTCGACCTTAAACTCTTCCCTTCGCCCGAATTCGTCGCAACCAGTTCGCAAGCACATAAACGCGTCAATGAAGTACGAAAGGCAAGAAACACTCTGTCAAGCAATAATTCCGCCGAGGTTAAAACTCTCCGTCTTCGGTAAACGGGAAACGTCGTAAACGTTAATTATACAAGCAGGTATAAATAAGGGTTAACGACGGATCGACCGTTTCTGGAATAAGCTCGTTTCGTCGCTACGCTCTGGATATAACCCGTTCACAAAAGAGAATTTTCTCAGCACCGAATGCCACTCTCGAAAGTGCTCTTCCTTATTGTCATTTGCAGCTCCGTAAATTATTTTCGAATGTTTTGCTAACCTCTGCCACGCCGTCAGATCTTTTAAACACCAAAACGTCAAGAGAGCTTCAATCGCATTCGACTCTTGTACCTTGATTTGCCAGCAAAATATATCATCGTTAGATCTTCAATTTGCATTGTCGGCTCTGAATAACGAATTACAAATATAAATGATATAAGAACGATCTACGTGCATATGGGCCATACATCGACCGTTTCTTATTCGATAATTTATTCTTTACAATTAAGACGCACGGAAGCAGGGTAAAATCTCAAAGTTTAATCGATTAATTATTTATTTATTTATTCGTGGGCGAAGACCCCTTGATATCAGGTTTGTGACAAAGTAAAAAAAGGATTAGCAGCAAATAACAATAAATCAACAGTAATTGCACGATTGCGTAAATGAGTTATAATAAAGATTCCGAAGGTAGATAAGCATCTACGAAACAAAATCAATTTTTTATTAAATCGGTTACAGATAATGGACCCTTTCTGCTTTTCGCTGTGAAGTAACGTAGAAAAGGTCGTTGTTTTCGAGAGCTTCTCTCTTGCAGAAAAGGAATATTATATAATTGTGTAATACAGTTTATTCAAATAAACTAGATTCTTTAAATATATATATACATATATATATATATATGTAATGTATGTAATCGCTTCCTCATCGGTGCACCATTTTTTTCCTTCCAACAAAGATAAATATCTAGATTTATGATTCAAGTTGATAATTATTTCCGAGAAACAATTCCATATGATACGAAAATGATCACAGCGAGCTGAATCAGAACAAGAGAACCGATTCGACGTTTAGTTGCACAACACCGTGTATCTAATCGATGTCAAAAGCAATAATTTTATAGAATTTGCTAAATATCACGTTATCTTATTACAGATAGCTAGATCATTACACGATTACGTAAAGTTTCATCGCGTCTGGCATTTTCTCCCCGTGCTTGTCGAAGAAACAAAGATATTCGATACGTTTCGACGATAACGAAAGAATTATGTCCATTTTTCTGTATATCGTAAATACCAAAGGCTGATCGCGCCACAGTATCGACGTTACTTGGTCGGTATTTTAATAAACTGATTCGCAAAGACGAACGTTGAGCGGAATCGAGCTGAATCTTGCGTCGAGCGTATCTCGACTCTTTTCGAAGCGTATTGCTCGCATTGCCTAACGATCTTGAGGAAAGGGAGCAAAGAAGGGAGCGAAGAAGGAAACGAGAGCCTCGTTTCAGGATGCTTTCATTCACGCGGTCGCAGCCTTTACAATCCTTCGTTTCCGTGCGTGGGAAGGGTTCCATCGTGCATGCAGCTGGGTGAGGGTAGAAACTAAAGAGCGCCGACGAAGAAAAGGACGTGACATTGAAACACATTGCTGGGATAAGCGCCGAAGAAAGTGGAAATGTAGGAGAAATAGGAGACAAACATTGTCATCGAACAATCATCTTTGTTAATTTTTTGCTATATTTAGCTGTTTTTGGCGAAAGAACGTTAATGTATATTATTCAATTATAATCTTTACGACAAACGATTTCTATTTAATGTTTCAGGTATCGCGAAATATAGGTTTTGAAATTATCGTTTCTTCAGTTTCTTCCCGACCCATGTTCGTACGTCTCCTTTTGTTCTAGTTAATTTACCAACTAACTATTAGTTTTATCTCTGTTAAATCAAGGTTATCTATTTGCGCCTCTGCTTTCTATACATAGTAGCCAGTTCTTATGAATTGTTTTAGTACGTTTTTCGTATCTTGAGAAAACGATAACGCAAGTTATTTATATTTTTATTTTCCAATCTTGTTACGTTTAGTTTGGTCCTCGATTGGTTGAACTTTAGACTTCAAGGTTATATTTTGCAATAAAAATTAAGTAAAAGATTATAAGTTTGTCAGATTTACATAAGATTGTACAAAGAAGCCTGGTCTTACGCCAATATTTTTGTTCGTCAGCTGTCAAGATCGATAAAGAATGAAATCTGTTTCGAATTCTTCTTTCAAGTAGAAAAAAGCGCTTGGGGACAAGTGGTGGGATTGAGATCGTAAAATACGTGCCGGTAAGGAAAGGAGGAAAGAGCAAGAGGCAAGAGGAAGGAAATACGCAGAAGTAAGAATAGGAGAATCGAATATAAAAAAGAGAGAGAGAGAGAGAGAGAGAGAGAGAGAGAGAGAGAGAGAGAGAGAGAGAGAGAGAGAGAGAGAGAGAGAGAGAGAGAGAGAGAGAGAGAGAGAGAGAGAGAGAGAGAGAGAGAGAGAGAGAGAGAGAGAGAGAGAGAGAGAGAGAGAGAGAGAGAGAGAGAGAGAGAGAGAGAGAGAGAGAGAGAGAGAGAGAGAGAGAGAGAGAGAGAGAGAGAGAGAGAGAGAGAGAGAGAGAGAGAGAGAGAGAGAGAGAGAGAGAGAGAGAGAGAGAGAGAGAGAGAGAGAGAGAGAGAGAGAGAGAGAGAGAGAGAGAGAGAGAGAGAGAGAGAGAGAGAGAGAGAGAGAGAGAGAGAGAGAGAGAGAGAGAGAGAGAGAGAGAGAGAGAGAGAGAGAGAGAGAGAGAGAGAGAGAGAGAGAGAGAGAGAGAGAGAGAGAGAGAGAGAAAGGAAAACTGGGGACGGAAACGCAAAGAGAGGCAGGAGGCAGAGGAAAATACGATAGAGGCAAAGTCGCATGCGTACATTCTGATAAGGTCTTATCGTGTGAAAGCACCGTGGCCTACTTATACTTGGTGCGTGGTTGTACGCGTCTCTAACGTTTGCGTGATCGCACACATACGCGTGCATCTCATCGTTGGCTACGCACGCAACGGAGTACACACTGACGCAAGCGTGCTGTCGTGCTATTGCAACCACGCGTAAGAGTTTATGCGAGCTACGAGCACGCGTGAACGAACGTGCCGTTACGAGAAAAGCCTGTCTATACACCGATGAAAATAAAGTTTCCTTTCTATTTTACAACTTATTTTTCCTACGCTTTATTTATAGACTTTGAACTTTCGTTCTTTCTAGCTGTATTCTTCGAATACTCCCAATCGATAATGATCAAAAGTATTTAGCGATAAAAGTGAATTGTGCGTATCGAGGATGTTATGGAGGAGCCACGAAGCGGGAAACGATACGAACATTTAAACGTCGTTGTGGTGTAATCGGGTGGGATTGCGGCATGCATAATGCAAAACGTTCGAGCCCTAAATACAGGGTGTCTCGTAAGTAACATAATCGGTAAGAGGGTGATTCTACCTCGAACAGACAAGTCAAAAGCGTTGAGAATAGTAGCTTCTAATATGAGCCGATAAAAAATTCATGTACCCTTCGTCTACGTGTAGAAATATTGTAAGTACTTGTTCTTTGTCTATACAGATATCGAAGATGCTTTAATATAGAGACTTAAACTTATAGAGATCAGATTTCACTGCAGATGGATGGTGGAGAACGTTCGATCGAGTGGAACATTAAATATCGTCGATTACTCGCAATAATGGAAAAAGCGTGAATACAAAGGAAACGCATTTTCTGATACAACGCGATAAATACAAACATAAGTAGAGACATCAGTCTTGCAATGAGACGCATTAATAACACTCACTGGGCGAATATCTAAAGGCAATTCCGTCAAAAATAAAATTACTTTTCCGATTGTATCGTTATTTGTCGGACACTCTGTATAGTATGTGTCTTGTTCTCGGCGTGGCAGTAGAAAAACTGCAAGAATTACGGAAACGATTAGCAAACGATGCAATTACTTCCTTTCTGACCAATTATCGTCACGAGAGGATAGACAAAAAGATTCTCGTTCGTTAGCTAGACTGAAAGGTTGGTTAGTTGATAATCGATGGACTTGGTCGATAGGCGAAAGCAGCTCCGAAAGGGGAACAATAAAGTGGAGATTCGATAGCTCCTCGTGGCCGAGTCGCAACCGCGTGTATATACACGCGAGCCCGTACGTACATACGGCAAATTGCGAAATTGGGTCGGCCAGAAATTGAAGCTGATCCGCCTGTTCTTCGCGTCGATGAGGGCAACTGCGAAGGCGACACGTAAAATTTTACCGATAACGTGCATACTTTGACGAATCGCTCGCCACTATCTCTCTTCAAACGAGCTAAATCAAAAGTCTTTCGAATCTATCTATCAAACTACCAGATTATCTTATAACAGATATACAATATACATATTTTATATTATCTCGTAAATCAACGCGGCGAAATATCGATTTGCAAACTATAGTTATAAGAAATAATAAAACATCTCGAGAATTTAGTTGATTAGCTCACCAGGAAGCTTCGATTCCTAATGTTATCAAAGAATTATTTCTTATGATTTTCTTTTTTCGCTGTTACGTTATGCTCACTGTAGTAAAAGTTCCTAAAATGATCAAGTTTCATAACGCGCATATGTTACGTTCGATTAAATTGTTTTCAAACAAAAATTTAAAATAATTTGAACTACGATATTACAGATATTAAGAAAAAATGCAAAACCGAGGGCCATAACCTTTCTTCTAACACACGACGATTATGGAATGATCGTAAATTTCATTTTGCGCACTTCAGACGTGTTTTTACGCACGTCACATGCGTTCAAGTTTTTAAGGTTACGCTATTTTCCTCGTAATGTACGAACGTTGTTGACGATTTAGAATTTTTTTAGCAATAGATGGGCGAGACCTAAATGCAAATAACAAGTTCTAAGTATAACAAAACATGACTCAAGGTCTTGATAAGATACTTTCATTAAAATCCATTAATCGTTGAGCATAAACCACTTTGCTATTAAAGTATATTGAGAATATCAATAGGGAGAATTTTATTCTCCTCGTTATATAATGCTTTAAATTGTTGCATTTGATCTCATCGCTGAAAGGGTGATACGACATCGTTAAATAATCGTAGAATAATAATTTGAACGTAAACGTGGAATGTTAGCGAACCTTACAAACAAGAACTGACTGGTTAATCAAATAAATTGGATTTCTAGTACGGTTCTAATTATTATGAATCATTTTTATACATAAATATTCGTGTTGTACAGAAGAAAATTCGTACTTTTAACTCGATGTAAGCATAATACATATTTCTTAATGACGCACTGCGAACATGTGCAATAAAGTTTAGCTATGAGTAAGAGCATCGTGCTAAAATTCGTGAATGCATTTAACGCCTGCCTGCTATTTATGTCCGCGATGCTAATACAGATTATGCAATATCGTCGATGACATTCGTTGGAAACGTAAATGCAATGGAATTTGTGTTTTAATTACCTCAAAATTCGACTGGTGTAAGTCTCCGAATTTACCGATCCATTTTATAAATTTTTCCGGTTGCGTTCGATCGATTATTCAATGATCGAGACCGGACAGTACGTTATCACTGAATAGTATAAAAATTTATAACTGGATTTATACTCGATTGCACCGACTTATTGTTGTGAAACGTTCACTGTCAAACGATGCTCTATCGATTGTCACGCAACGTACATAAAGTATAAACATTCTTCGTTGGCGCAGTACAATTCCGTTTCGAACGAATATTTTCTATTTCGTTCGTTACCTATTGTCAGTTTATATCTGTAGCTCTTTCTCAATGTATAAGTTCGATATATCGAAACACGAATTCGGTATTTCATTTAACCCCGAAAACACCAAATCATACATTCGTTTTTGCAAACACAGAAGGAAAGGCACAGTACATTATTTATTTTCATTTCATTAGCAAATTATAAGCTTATTATGCCTACCCCTCTCTTTCGCAGATCCAACATGTTGAAGCTCTTTCCCATAATTATTTTTACCTATTCCATTTCAAACGGATGATCGTTTATAATATGTAGTAGGTATAATTACGTAAGTGCATATTAAAAATTGGTACTAATAATAGGGAAGATCAATTAATAGCAAGGACGTACTTTTCCAAAAATTGGCCATCTTAAATAGTGCGGATCGCTCGTAAATATCATTATACCGTAAAAATCTCCTTAATCGATGCATTGGAATTATGTAACTGTGAAACGCAATTGGTTCGACGAGTATTGCCACGGCTTTACCGTCTCGATAGACCGCAAGAACGCAAAAACTGTTTGATGGGAGGGTTAAAGCTCATTGTAAGAATCAGCGCGCGACAAAGTTGCAACCTTGGGCAAGTAGATAGGAGAAACATAGATACCAAAGAACCATCTAAGACTGAAATGCCGTAAAATGCAACCTCGGCCAACTTAGGCATGGCCATAAACGACATCGTGGTAGCCATCGATACGCTAAACAGGTGAGAAAAGACGAAGAATGAGCGATAAAATGTAAGAAAGGACGAGAAAATTTTGCCAATTCTATCGTTCGCCGTCTGCACGCTTGAAGAAATTTCACATTGAGTTTATGGCTCTTCGAGTAAAATTATCGCGAAATATTCGATCGAACATGCCTCGTATTTGAAGTTGCTATATCGCTTTCTCATGATCACTCTATAAATAATTTTTAATGCGTTAAATGGATAGAATTTGTAACAATGCTAATCTAATGCAATAACCTTCGTAGATCTCATAGAAATGCATCGTAGTAATACAGCTAAATAGATACGTAATACATATACAGAGATATATACTTTCTAATTA